CACTTCCTCTCCATTCTGCTCTGGTCAGATCTCAACTGGGATATAGGCAATCCCCGAGTTACAAACATCTGACTTCTATCTGATTCATAGGTGAGATCACAGGAGGTGAGAGAAATCGTACCACTAGGAAGGGAAATTACCCCCCGAAAGAGCTATTATGGGGAAGGGGGGTCTCCACTGAAGCTTTCTCTCCAATCCATGTTTCCACAACTTTTTCAAAATCCAATGATCACAGGAACAGAAAGTGAGCTGAAATCTTCTGAGCAGTGGCACAGACACCAAAAGAAATGCCACAGGGGTGTTAACCCTTCCCTGTGCTAGCTGCACTTCAATATATATATGATTGGCTGGAATTATACTTTTAAAAAATGTACCTGTTTCGGCTTACAAACAAATTCAACATGAGAACAGATCTACAGAACTTGGGGGAAGCCTGTACTCTGCCCAGTTCTGGGCAACACAATTCAAGAAGGCCGTTGAGAAACTGGAAGGTGTTTGGAGAAGAGTGACCAAAATGATCAAAGGTTTGGAAAGTAAGCCCTGTGAGGATCAGTGTGGGGAACTGAGTATGTTTAGCTTGGGAGAAGAGAAGAATGAGAGGGGACATAATAGCCGTGTGTAAATATTTGAAGGGATGTTGCAACAGGCAAGCTTATTTTCTGCTGAAGATTAGGACATGGAGCAATGCATTCAATACAGAAAAGAGATTCCACCTAAACATTGGGAATAAAATCTTAATGATAATGTTGTTCGACAGTGGAATATATTGCCAGGAAGTGTGTTGGAGTCTCCTCTGGAGGTTTTTAAGCAGAACTGGGTGGCCATCAGTCAGAAGTGTTTCGGTTGTGTCTTCCTACCTGATAGAATGGGGTTGATCTTGATAGCCTTTGGGGTCTCAACCAACTCTAGGATTTTTTGACTTTATGCTCACTCTACCTCACATCTCCCTGGTCCAGCTGCATTAGCCTTGGCCTCTGAAACTCAGTTGTGTCTTGTTATCTAGAGGCACCAGTAAGCAATACGCCACAATTCTGGGATGTGTGTTAAGACAGCACCCTTCTCCTCACCATGTGTATGTGTTTATATGTAGGGATGAATGTACGGTATGTGGTGCTCCAGCACCAAGAGCGCACTAAGCTGTTCTTACAGTAGAATATGATAATGGAAATGTGTCCTCTCCATGTTTTTAAAGTCCTCAGCGTGCTTTATTCGGGGAGCTGAATTCTGGAACTTCTATACAACATATCAAGACAGCATTTTTGTATGTTGTATTCTTTTTTTTCCTGGTCATTTGTTTTTTCATATCAGGAGTACCTTGAGAAACTGCAAGTCGCTTCTGGTGTGAGAAAATTGGCCATCTGCAAGCACATTGCCCAGGGGACACCCAGATGTTTTATCATCCTATGGGGGGCTTCTCTCATGTTTCCGCATGAGAACCTGGAGCTGACAGATGGGAGCTCACCCCACTCCCCAGATTCAAACCACCGACCTTTCAATCAGCAGTCCTGCCAGCACAAGGGCTTAACCCATTGTAATAAGACATGACAAGGAAGCTTTGTATCCCGACCTGGCGACAATTAATCACCTGTTGTCCAAATAAATACCTGTCCTTTTTCTGGGACACTTCCAAAACTGGATCTTGTGCTCTATATTTTATGGTCTTCCTTTCCCCATTTCTCTCTCAATCTCTCTCTGCAGGGAACTATTCACACTGCCCTTAATGGGTTATTGCCCTTGCCATTCAGGAGTCTGGATTTTATAGACATAATTTTATTTAAAAGCTTGAAGTTCAATTCAGAAAATATTTACCTCTGTATGAACACATTTACTAATAAACAAGCAGGAGGAAAGTGTATGAAATTGCATTTTGGGGGGGATGTGGGTTCCAGATGCTTTGGTCAACATGGCAACTGATCATATTGTCTGGGGGATTTTGGGATATGTAGTCCAAATAAAGGAAATTTGTCAAGATCTGGAAGGAAGTCATTTGTGGCATGCACATCTGAGTGAAGACACATAGGACTGTGTGCATTACATAATCCCGTTCATTAAATGAATGTGGTTTCTTCCCTTTTCCTCCCAGCCTCCCCCTTCAGCTATTTTTTGATGCTGTCCTTTCCTCAGCCCCTGGGATTCCTTTTTCTTTTTCTACCAGAGCTTTTCAGGGGAGTGAAAACAAAAGGCGAACGGCAGGACTTGAAGTGCCAAGAAGGAGCAAGGCTCCTGGAATGTGAAGTGAATGCTTTTGACTGGTTGGAGCAAGTGCTTTGGTTGTTTCTTCTTGCCTTCTTTACAAGCGCCTACATTGTTGGGGCTACAATAAGCTGCAGGTCTAAACTTAGCACAGAGGCTGGGGTTGTGGGGTGCGGGAGAGGTGGGACCTTGCCTGGCACTCTTGGCTTCCTTTTAATCCAGCATCTAAATATCATCTTGTGTGCAACTTCATTGTTTTGCTATTGAGAGTGAAAGAAGAGTTTATGCAATCAGGACCCCGTTATCTGGGAGAATATATATTTATTTGAAGCCACAGATTCTTTGGGGATAAATATACTATACTAGCTCTACCCGCCATGCGTTGCTGTAACCAACGTTCCCTCCTCCTTTCTCTCCTACCTTCCTTTTTTCTTTCCTTCTCTCCTTCCTTCCTTCTTTACCTCTTTCCTTTCTTCTCCCTTTATTTTTCCCTTTTGCTTTCTCTCCATTCTTCTTTCTCTACCTATGCTTGAACTGCAACTCCTAGCAGTCCTCCTTATTGATCTACCTTACTTACTTACTTAGGCGATCCCTCGTTGGATGAGTAAGATGGTCTTCCATGATGGGTTTCCTTGTGGATTCGTAGGTGGCTGTGGAGCCCTGTTCTTGACCCGCATCTTCTCCCACAGTGAAGGCATTGGTTTCCAGGTGGAAGGTGGTCCCGGTCGGGGTTGGCTTGACGCGCCTTCCTCCTGGCACATTTCTCTCTTTCACCCTCCACTCATGCCTCCTCGAATTCTGCAGCACTGCTGGTCACAGCTGACCTCCAGCTGGAGCGCTCAAGGGCCAGGGCTTCCCAGTTCTCAGCGTCTATGCCAGAGTTTTTAAGGTTGGCTTTGAGGCCATCTTTAAATCTCTTTTCCTGTCCACCAACGTTCCGTTTTCCGTTCTTAAGTTCGGAGTAGAGCAACTGCTTTGGGAGACAGTGGTCAGGCATCCGGGCAACATGGCTGGCCCAGCGGAGTTGATGGCAGAGGACCATCGCTTCAATGCTGGTGGTCTTTGCTTCTTCCAGCACACTGAAGTTTGTCCGCTTGTCTCCCAAGAGATTTGCCGGATTTTCCGGAGGCAGCGCTGGTGGAATCGTTCCAGGAGTTGCATGTGGCGTCTGTAGACAGTCCACGTTTTGCAGGCATATAGCAGGGTTGGGAGGACAATAGCTTTATAGACAAACACCTTGGTATCCCTATGGTTGTCCTGGTCCTCAAACACTCTCTGCTTCATTCGGGAAAATGCTGCACTCGCAGAGCTCAGGCGGTGTTGTATTTCAGTGTTGATGTTGACTTTGGTGGAAAAGTGGCTGCCAAGGTAGTGGAAATGGTCAACATTTTCTAATGTTACACCATTAAGCTGTATCTCTGGCATTGGGGAGGGGATGGCTGGTGACTGCTGGAACAGCACTTTGGTTTTCTCGATGTTCAGTGACAGACCAAGCTTTGTGTATGCTTCTGCGAAGGTGTTTAGAGTGGCTTGTAGATCTTTTGAATGTGCACAGATGACATTGTCATCAGCATACTGGAGTTCTATAACAGATGTTGTTGTAACCTTGGTTTTGGCTTTCAGTCTGCTGAGGTTAAACAGCTTGCTATCAGTCCGATAGATGACTTCCACTCCGGTGGGAAGCTTCCCGATCTACCTACACCTATCTCTATGTAATCTATCTATCTTATCTATCTGGACGATTGCTGAGAGTTGCAGTCCAGGAATATGCACTGTATTGTCATTTAGCTTTTTTGGTTTTTAAGTCCTTTCCACAGTTTTTTTGGGGAGGTTTATGAGTGATGGTCACTCAGTGGTCTGTTAAGATCGTAGTGTCCAAACTTTGTGTCAATTTGTCCAGTGGTTTTTCAGTTATGATAATCCCACAAACTAACATTACATTTTTATTTATCACCAAGGTAAAGGTAAAGGTAGTCCCCTGACATTAAGTCCAGTCATGTCTGACTCTGGGGTGTGGTGCTCATCTCCATTTCTAAGCCAAAAAGCCAGCGTTGTCCGTAGACACCTCCAAGGTCTTGTGGCCGCCATGACTGCATGGAGCGCCGTTATTTATCACCTAAAGGACCCAGAAAATTCCTATAGAGACCATTTACCCAACAGACACGGATAGATGAAACCTGCCCATGAGTTTTGTAGTTATGATGGTTTTAGTCTACTGCAGTTTTCATGGCATTAGAGATTAAAAATATTTTATTTGTTTCTGCTCTGAAGATAACTCCATTGGGCTTTTGTGTGGCTGCGAATTCAACTTTCTTAAGAATTCTCCTTCTACTTCAGTGCTAGGCTATAGTTGTAACTGCAAAACCAGTAGCTCTTACAGAACAATACTTGAAAGATGGTGCTCAGAAATAGACAGGGTATTTCAGGTGACATCTGACCAAAGGAATTGTGAGAGTTGAAGTCCAAAACACCTGGAGGGCCCAAGTTTGCCCATAGAGATTCTAGAGATAGCAGTTTAACCAACTCTACAAGCCTTCAAAGGGCTGCCGCTGTAATTTTCTGCTTCTCTTGTTACTTTTGAAAATGTGCTGCATGCTTTGTCCACTCTGTCATTCCCAACATTCTCCAGAGAGAATACCAATAATGGATTCTGAGTATTGTTTTTTAGAAGATACATTTGCTTGATCTTGTCCTCCAGTAATTTTTATAGTATGTCCTTGCTTTTAAACAAAAATGCAAAGATAGCTGCCTGCTAATTATGTGCCGTCCTTTAACCTTCTCTTTTCCCCCTTGTATTTGTGTTTCAGAAATGCCCTTCAAAGGACTGTGCAAAACACCGAGGAGGGTGCTGTGATGTCTGAAACTGTGCAGAGGGGCTGCTCTCTGAAGGTATCTTTTACATCCACCCTAGTAATGTATCTGTGATCAATTTATTTCTTGTACTATTGGCTTTTCAGGGACATGGGCACAGGAAGAGATTCCCTTTTAGACATAGGCAATTTGCTTATTTTTTTGGTTTTCAAAAAGGAATAGGATTTGTCACTACATTGCAAGGGGAGTTGGAAGCAGGAGAACATTGGCTTCGATGATTCCACATAGATTTGATGAAAGCTGTTAGTTGTTGGGGCACACTTACTGACTATGAGAAAACTTCTGCTAGACATAAACAAAGCAATTCACTCCAGGAATTTCCCTTCTGGTATGACTGGGAGATTCTGGGAATAATGTAGTACAACCTCTGTATCCATGTGGAAACATGTTCTTGAACTTAAGGTGGAAACCAGAAACTATGGACAATAACACTGGTCAACACACATTTTGTTTTCTAAAATGTTAGACCTGTTTTTCTGGATATATTTGATCTGTTGATTCCAGAAATGGCACCTGTTTCTCCCTATCGGCTCCAGTTTTTGAGATACAGAACATGTGCCATAAACCAATCTTCAAATGCTTGCCTGTAGAAAAACATGATAACCATATCTATAAAACTAGAGCTGGTGTGGTCTATTCCAGGGGTCCTCAAACTTGTTAAACAGAGGGCCAGGTTACAGTCCCTTAAACTGTTGGAGGGCCGGATTACAATTTGAAAAAAAAATGAATGAATTCCAATGCACACTGCACATAACTTATTTGTAGTGCAAAAAACACTTAAAAACAATACAATAATTAAAATAAAGGACAGTTTTAACAAAGATAAACTTATTAGTATTTCAGTGGGAAATGTGGGCCTGCTTTTGGCTGATGAGATAGGATTGTTGTTGTTGTTGTTGTTGTGTGCTTTCAAGTCGTTTCAGACTTAGGTTGACCCTGAGCGAGGGCCAGGTAAATGACCTTGGAGGGCCATATCTGGCCCCCAGGCCTTAGTTTGAGGACCTCTGCTCTATCTGATGCAGTTTTCTGAATCCATGCCCCAAAGAATCCCAGCAACAGACCTAAAAATGAAGACACCAAGAAAACTTTGTTTTGGTTGGGCTGTGTAATGAACTCTCTTAAAATGAACAATTTCCACCAGAAGTTATCATAGAATTGCCTTGGATGACCTCTAGGTATTTGCTCTATTGTAACCTCTGTTAGAAAATGCCATGTGATCACCTGGAGGATCTAGAAAAGTCCTAGAGAGGATATATATTGTTAGACCATGTTAGCCCAATTAACATTACCGGCCACAAAATCAACCCACAAATCTGAGTGAACCTTCATTGGCTCCTGTAAATTAATGTGGATGTTTGATGTTCTATATTTAGGTTTTATATTGGATATATATTTTTAGATAGGTTACGTTTTATTTAATCTATATATGTCATGTTCTATGTTATTTTTACATGTGGGTTTATTTTGGGATATGATGTCTACATTTGTTATTGTACTGAGGCATTGAATGATTGCTTTTTTGGTTGTTGGAATCTGCCCTGAGTCTCCTTGGGGAGATAGGGTGGCATAGAAATAAAGTTGTTTATTATTATTATTTGAAACAAGATTAGTATACAGCAGACAAGATCACTATGCTGGCTATTGTATTGGATCACACATCGGACACTTCCCCAGTGTCTAGGACTGTGTGATGTATCAGCAAATAATGTGTGCAGATCTGGGTGGCCTTGTTGTTGTTATTGTTGTTGTTATTATTACTGTTATTGGATATGGGTAGATAAAATGGCAGTATTGATCCTGCTGATATAGGGGTCGTACTACAGTGCCAGAAAAATAATTTTTACGACCCCTGAGTTGTATCAGGAAGATTCTTGCTTGCCATGTCTTCTAGATTTTCTTGGTCTGGTCTGAGTCATCTCCTGATTTTGGCCAATTTGGTGGTGTATTTCTTCAGTGGCTCCTGCTGAAAAAGTATAGTGCAGTAGAATGTATTTTTCACACCTATATTTTACACCTGTATATGATAGTTGTATTTGTTGATGTGCACATGAACTTATATAGCAGCTTTGGGGGAGGGGGGGGGGGGCTCGTGTAGATTCCGTTAAAGTACTGTTTTCTTTTGTAATATTGTTAATCCAACCCTGAGAATTTAATGATGGGGCTGCGGTTCCCAGAATCCCCTGCTAAGCCAGGCTGGTGGAGAATTAGGGAAGTTGTAGTCCCCAAGTTACCTTTCTAAACTCAATAACTTGGTGAATAACTTGGGACTATGTCTGTTCTTCTTTTTATTGTATTTTAAAGTTAATTGTATTGTTTCAATCTACTGCTGTAAACCGCTCCGAGCCAAATTGGGAGTAGCAGTATACAAGTCAAATAAATAAATAAATAAATAAATAAATAAATAAATAAATAAATAAATAAAATAGCCAGTGCTAACAACCAAAAATGACAGTGATGGTTGAATGAGAAAATCCTTGCAAATCCATTAATATCATACTTGAAAGCATTGACGTTTTGCATTGTTAGCTAAGGCTGGGTTTAGCTTCACAATTTTCACAGTAGGTGGTCTTGTTTGGGGGATTTTGGTAAGAGCTGAGACTCAGAATAGGTGGTCCTCACCTAGTAGATCAGGGAGGAGCAATGAGCTAGTGTTACCCCACTGAAGCTGGTTTTGAACAGAGACTGAAAGTTCACAAAGTTGAAGAAAAAGGAGATAGGAAATGGAAAACCTTGTGGTTTGCTGTTTCCAGACATTACCCAGTATCTTTGGTCAGAAGATACCAAGCCTGGGAGTGAATTTCAGGGAGTTGGAACTATCAACACTGTGGTTGTACCTTCAAAGATTGAATAAGTTTGACTTAGGGGAACCAGATCAAGTTGAAGAGTATCCACCCAAAGTAGCCATGTTTCCCATAGCTGCTTTGGATGCTTCTTCACCTCTTTAGGTTTTTCTGATCCTTCTTTCCTCCTAGGGAGTGCCGAGGCACCAGGAAATGGCACTTGCCTTTTGTTGAAGGCAGCGAACCATTCAGCTTGGTTTGAATGCACTTAAACCTTTTATTTTGCCAACTTCCTTTTCTGAGATTTGAGCCACACTGGTCTGGTCCTTGATTCCTAAATGGCCATTGTGGATCTGGTACAATAGTGGAGAGCAGTCAAATCTGTAAAGGCAGAGAGTCAAACAGATGCTAAAAGATGATGCTAAAAGTACATCTATTCAGTAGGATAAATGTAGTTTGACACCACTTTAATTTGCATGGCTGAATGTTATGGAATCAGGATTTGGCGAGGTACCAGTATTTTGTTTTGCAGAGAAGACTAAAGACCTTATAAAGTTACTACTGCTGTGATTCCATAGCATTGGACCATGCAGTTAAAGTAGTGTCAAGCTGCATTAATTCTACAATGTGCTTCCCAAGAGAATTTTTAGAAGATGAAATGGCTGGGGGCGGGCGATTAATTCCTTCTGATTATTTGGCTCAGATATACATAGTTCTATACCTGGTTCCCTTTCTCTCATAACCCTGGGATATAGTGTTGTTCACTGGCTGAAGGGTAGAATATCCCAGAAATTGCGTAATTGAATTTTGGAACTCATAGCTGAATTATTCATGGAAATTGGGATTATCTGATGGATAATCCCAATTTGAAAACGTGGTTGTTTCAGTGTGCCTTCCCAGAATAGGAAACTCCAAGCACTTTGTCCCAAATGCACTTTACTAGACTGCCTAGGACTGTCTGCACGCTCTACCTATTCTCCAAAATATCTATCCATTTCACCCGGTCATGCCCAGCTTTTTAAATTTTAACCTTTATATCTGACCCTGACATCGGTTTTTAATCGCGTTGTGTTGTTATTGTTAATGTTGTTGCTTGAGTTTTATTTACTGCTGTATTGTTGTTGTCTTGTTTATTGTTGTATTGGGTCTCGGCCTACTGTAAGCCGCACTGAGTCCTTCGGGAGATGGTAGCGGGGTACAAATAAAGGTTTGTTATTATATATTTATTATTATTATTATTATTATTATTATTATTATTATTATTATTATTATTATTATGGCCATCAGATTGGGAAAAAATCAACTTATATCCCCATGCCAAAAAAGGGAAATGCTAAAGAATGCTCAAACTTTGATACGGTGGCATTTATTTCACATGCCAATAATATAATGCTTCAGGTCTGCATGGCAGTACGTGGAGCGAGATGTACAAGCTGGGTTTAGAAAAGGCAGAGGAATGAGAGACCAAATTGCCAATATCTGCTGGATAATGGAGAAAGGCAGGGAGTTTCAGAAAAAAACATCTATTTCTGTTTTATTGACTATTCTAAAGCCTTTGCCTTTGTGGATCATAATAAATTGTGGCAAGTTCTTGGTGGGATGGGCATACCAAATCACCTTCCCTCTCTCCTGAGGAATCTGTACAAGGACCAAGTAGCAACAGTAAGAACTGACCATGGAACAACAGACTGGTTCAAGATTGGGAAAGACGTACGGCAGGGTTGTATACTCTCACCCAACCTATTCAACTTGTATGCAGAATGCATTATGCAATGTGTGGGGCTTCACAAATCCAAGGCTGGAGTTAAAATTGCTGGAAGAAACATTAACAACCTTAGATATGTAGATGATACCACTTTGATGGCCAAAAGCGAGGAGGAGCTGAGGAGACTTCTAATCAAGGTGAAAGAAGAAAGGGCAAAAGCTGGGTTGCAGTTAAACATTAAAAAAGTAAACCAAGATTATGGCAACAAGAATGATTGACAACTGGGCAATAGAGGGAGAAAACATGGAGGCCGTGACAGATTTTGTATTTCTAGGTGCGACAATTACTGCAGATGCAGACTGCAGCCAGGAAATCAGGAGGCATATACTTCTTGGATGGAGAGCAATGCCCAATCTTGATAAAATAGTGAAGAGTAGAGACATCACACTGGCAATGACGATCTGCATAGTCAAAGCAATGGTATTCCCCGTAATAACCTATGGATAGGAGAGTTGGGCCATAAAGAAGGCTGA